TAAATATTTTATTAAAAGTAGACTTAGTTTTGTCATGAATGATATATATATATATATAAGGGCCTACAAAATGAACAGTTCGAATTATCAAAATGAAATCGTCGCAAAATATTAAAAAATTCAAATAAATTATCAAATATTCTACACAATATTAACATGAGTTTGAATCTCATATGATATGAATCCCCCACTCATATAAATATTATATAAAATATTTACTAGACCATAAGCTTATTCCTGGCGTTACGAGTCTCTCAACTTTTTAATTTAGATTTGAATGCCAACTCAACTCACATCAAGTTGGTAAGTGGGAGGAAAGTTCTTTTAGTTATTTTTTAGGGCAGGGCCAAAAGTCCAAAATTGACTTTTTCTTTGTTCATAAGGACCAGTTTCATCAAAATGACCAAATTGCCTCTCGAATATATATATATATATATATATATGTCTCATTCTAGAATCAAACCCTAACCTCCATAATGATGATGATGATGATGATGATGATGAAGAATCAGATATAGAACAAATTTTGAGCATATAAGTGAGATTTTGTTCAAATTTTGAACAGATATAAGACAAAGTTGTTCAAAATTTGAGCAGATAATAATAGTTTGTGAATTTTTATGTAATATTTGAGTGTTGGTGGTGGGTAATTCCAACAGATAGAAAAATTAGTTTGTGAATTTCAAACAGATAGGAAAAATGAGCTTTCAAATTTGAGTAATAGATAAGAAATCGTTATTTTAACAGATAAGAAAATTTGAACATATAGATAGAATTTAGGAAAAAAATTAAATAGATAGATAGAATTATCGAAAAAAAAAATGAACATATATGAGAAACAATTGAACATATAGATATAAATTTAAACAAATAGACAAAAAAAAATTGAATAGATAGATATAAATTTGAACAGATAGTCAACGAAAAGTCAAACAGATAAGAAAAAGTTAAAGGGTAAAATTGAAAATAAAACGTCCTTTTGGACTTCCCATCAAATTATTTCACAAAATATGGATCTCTCACTAATAAAATAAAATAAAATACTGGATCTAATATCTTATACTCTTCTTATATTGGATTTATCACAAATTATTTCTATTTTTTTTTAAAGTAATTTGTTGGTTTTTAATTTATTATTGTTGACAATTTTGGTTTAACAAGAAGTTGTTTGGTTGGCTTTAGGACTTTTTGAATCTGGATTTCATGTTGATTTGTGAAGAAAACATTATTGTTCTTTCTTACCTAACCAACTTGGAAAGCTTAAACCAATAGCCCAATAATCCATGGTTTAGCGAGTTTTTTTTTTTTTTTTATAAATATTCTAAAAAAAAAAAAAAAACTATTTAGAGAATTGACCCCATTTTAAAACTATTTGAAAAAGTAACCTAGTTTTGAAATCGTATTTTAAACATGCACTTTAAAATTGAAATTGCATTTTCAATATGCAATTTTAACTTGAAGTTGCATGTTGAAAATGCGATTTCAAATCTACATAGACAAATTTGAAGTCAAAGTTAGAAGTCTACATGGACAATGACTTGCTGATGTGGCTTTAAATTGCATGTTGAAAATGCAATTTCAATTACAGATTTTAAAATTCAAAATCGCCTCATTTAGATGAAGTACTTGCAATCACTTGAAATCACATGTTCAACGTGCAACTTCAATTGAAATCGCATCTTCAACATGAAACTTCAAATGAAATCGCATTTTCAACATGCAACTTCAATTGAAATCCATCCACCTTCAATTAAATCCCCATTCTCACTATGCGACAGTCTTGTGGATTTCAAGTATGATTTGAATACACTCACTTGAATTTCACCAGTCCTGTCCTGTAGATTTCAAGTACAATTTTGAATACACTCACTTGAATTTCACCAGTCCTGTGGGATTTCAAGTATGAAATGAATACACTCGCTTGAAATCGCATGTTGAAAACGCAACTTCAATTGAAATTGCATGTTCAACACGCAACTTCAATTCAAATCACATCCTTAACATGCATCTTTAATTGATGTCCCATTCCCACTATGTGATTTCGCCAAGTATTCACTTGAAATCGCATGTTCAAAATGCAACTTCAATTGAAATTGCATCCTTAACATGCGATTTTACCACTCCCATGAGTGTTACCCACTTGAAATCGCATGTTCAAAATGCAACTTTTCTTGAAATAGCATGTTGAACACGCGATTTCACTTGCCATGATTGTTACAATGATTTTGAAGTACGGCATTTGCAGTATTATTTCTTTATTTTTTAAAAAAATTCTTATAATTTTTTTTATTAGTGACAAAGTTGAAATCGCATGTTTGAAAATGCAACTTAATTTGAAATTGCATGTTCAACATGCGATTTCAAGTGAAGCTGCATTTTAAACATGCGATTTCATGTTGTCAAGTGAAGTTGCATACCCAACATGCGATTTCATTGGTAACACCCACCTCTTGTCAATGTCAAATCGTGAGAGATTTTTGAAAAATGTAAAAAAAAATAAAATAAAATTATACAACACTAAAATCATATTCTCCTAATTGGTAACATGCAAGATTCTTGTTAATATCTATTCAAATCTATTTATTTTTTTTTATTGCTTATTTAACTCCCAAAACAATGGTGAACGCCAAACTCAAACTCTTCAGCTCAACATTTTCTTTCTACGAATACTATATTTCAACATGTTAAAGATGCAATTTCAGTTGAAGTTGTATGTTGAACATGCGATTTCAAGTGACTGTAAGTACTTTATCTGAATGAAGCGATTTTGAATTCTGAAATCTGTAGTTGAAATTGAAATTGCATTTTCAACATGCAATTTCAAGCCACATCAGCAAGTCATTGTCCATGTAGACTTCAAACTTAGACTTCAAATTTATTCATGTAGACTTAAAATCGCATTTTCAACATGCAACTTCAAGTTAAAATTGCATGTTGAAAATGCAATTTCAATTTAAAAGTGCATGTTCAAAATGCGAAAACTGGGTTACTTTCCCAAATAATTTCAAAAGTAGGTCAATTCTCTAAATAGTTTTTTTTTAGAATATTTTAAAAAAAACTCCGGTTTAGCATGTTTCCTAACGGAACATGATTAATTAATGATGATAACAGGAATTCTATAAGATTACTTCGTTATTGAGCAATAATTAATAGGGAGAAATATTAGGGACAGCAAACCAATCATAAAATCAGTTAATATGACAGAGTTTTGCATTAGTTGATTATTTGGATGGTTTGTATTTTTAGATTTATTAGAATTATTGTGTGACATTTTTACCAAACACCATAAACTTTCTGTTTTAGTATAATTTTTTTAAAATTTTAATTTAAATAATCTATAAATAAATCATTTATAGGAGCCAAACAAATTGACAATAACAATCATTTACACCCAAAATGAATTTATTCATACATGACAAAATGTGTCAATGATATTAGGTTATTGATTTAAAATTATCGATTCATACTTAAAAAGTGTATTAATTCCACAAAAATTTATAAATGAGTAAGATTACAGCGGCACAGTTTTTTTTATAACATTTTTTTATTGCTTACTTATATCATGTGATGACTGTGAGGTCTACTTTTAAGTTGTAAAAAAATATTATGAAAAAAAAAGACATTTACATACAAGTCTTAATATATGAATTTATATTTCATTAAGTCTTAATTAAGATTTTTTAAACTTTAAGTCTCATTAACTTTTTAATAGTCGGAATTATCCTTCAAATAATGATTGTTCATTATTTATGATTATCTATAAAGTTACATGATGATTTGACATTTATTTTGATTTTCAAAACTTTAAAATATCAACTTTCAAATTGAAAAAACTAAAAAAAATAAATTATGTGCAATAAAAAAAAAGAAAGTGTATTTGGTTTCAATTTTATGAATTCAGTTTTTTGGAAATCGAGTTTTTTTTTAATTTATTTTTCGTGTTTTTTTTTTATTTTTAGAGAATATTTTTAAAATTTTAAGCAATTTTTTTTTTACTTTTTTAAATGCACCTTATTTCGATGTATCTAAATAGTAAAATATTTGTGAAAAAATACTTTTAAAAATTCAAAAAAAATATACTAAATTTTTGTATTTTTGTTATTTAGTGAATTTTTTAAAGATTTTTTTCACCAATATTACACTTTTTAAGTGTATTTATGTTAGGTGTCTCTAAAAATAAAAAATAAAAATCCTAAAATATTTTTAAAAAATTATTGAAAGCAAAAAAATATGAAAAATAAAAAAGTAGAATTTTCTGAAAAGTGCTTGTTAAAAACCAAAACCAAACAAGCTTATGTTTTTTTATAAAAAAAAAAATTTAAAATTGAATTATTTTTTTTGGGAAAAACTAAAATTTTTGAGTCTATAAAGATGTATGATGATGGAATATTGATGTGCAAAATTGAAAAACAAAATTAAAAATGAAAAAACTGATAATATTCTCAGTTTTATTGAATAGTTGAATCAAACCAATATGCTCTATTTTTTTTTATCAGTTAGTGAAACAATTATCTATGTAAAATTAATAATAATTTTAGTTTTAAAAATTAAAAAAAAAATTGATAATATTTTCAATTTTACTAAAATACTAAAAATTAATATGACCTATACGAGCATATCAAAGTTCTAAAGTTTGAATATTAAAAACACAAGACAAAGAAGCAAGCAAAACAGAGGCCTGGAAACTAGCTAAAGAAGAAGTAGAAGGCTCGTCCGATGGGTCCCTAAAGTAGTAAAGCCCATCACGCTCATAGCCCTTACCAAATATCCTCTTCGAACTCAGGTCCTGTAAAAGACAAGAAGAGGGTAAGAAGATGACAGCACAATTAAACTGTTTGGTAAGACGACTAACAGATAAGAGATTATATGCAAAATTGGGGACATGTAAAACAGATGATAAAGTAAGGGTAGGAGATAAAGACACGGCACCCTTATGATGAATAGACGCTGAAGAACCATCAGCAAGGCAAACAGATTGGGCTATGGTAGTAGGGACTGGAACCAGGAATCTTGAAGCAAACAAATTTTCTGGCAGTGTTCCTCCTGAACTTGGGAAACTTAATAACTTGAGTACTTTGTAAGACATCTCATTCTTTTTTTACTAACGGTTACTCCTTGAATCAAATTTGTGAAGGATGAAAGAATATCTAACATGTTTGTTCGTCTGCATGACATTGGAACTTCAGGATGTTGTCCTCGAATCAGTTGAGTGGAAAGCTACCAACTTCATTTGCTGAGCTACAGAATTTAACAGATTTGTAAGTTTCTATATTATCTTCCTTGATTTTGCTATTGCAGTTTTGATAATGGCGTCGATTCAGCACCAGTCTCTTGCACAATGTAGTAGGATAAATGATAACAACTTCAGCGGAGCAATACCTGATTTTATACAGAACTGGAAACACGGTCCAATCTAAAGACAAATTAGACCAAAGCCAGACCCTTTGTATATATCACATTCTTGTCCATACAGACAATCCAAGGCATTCACATATATCGGTGTTCTATAGAAACACTATGGCACGCACTTTCTTTAAAAGATGTGCATTATATATATATTTTATAATTTAAAAAAATAATATAATTTTAATTTTTTAAGTTGAAATTAAAAAAACATATTTCATAATTAAACATAATATAAATCATAATTAAAATAATATCATAATTAAAAAAATAATAATCATAAATAAAAAATAAAATAATATATTAAGATTTTCCATGTTTTAATAGTCTAAGTGGATTGCCGCTGAATCAGGATCCTCTCCTTGATATTTTTACTTGACTTCTTACTTGTTGAGCCATTGGGTCGACTTTTAGGCTTAATTTTGATAATCCGAACCGTCAAGTTTTGATTTGTTAATTTAAATTATTAAGGTATTGTTTGTCATCATCTAAAAAAGTTAAAAAGTTAAAAAATTAAAAAGTTACTATTTTATTTAAGTCATATCGCTTCTCTATCACATCACTTTAAACCCAATTCATATTTCATAAAAAGTCAAAAAATACATTTATTTAGATCATCCTAAACCACTCCTTAATTTGTTAGATATTTTGTGTATTTTATTTAGATACAAATTAAATCAATTTGATAATAATAATTTATTTAATTTATCGTGTTGGTTATTAAAAAATTAAATAATTTATTTTTAAAAATATAATTATTATTCATTTTTTTAGTGACAAACACGATAGATTAAATATATTATAATTATCATTACAAAATACACGATTCAAATGATCCAAAATAAGATGATAGCTCGCACTACTGACCCAAACTGTGACCTCCAACCGACTCAAAGAATGCCCTCCAACTAACGATAGATCAAAGGCAATCCACCTACATTTTAGTGATTTTCAAAGCATTGCAAAATTCAAACATCACCTTCTGTGAAGCACGAATATCGGTATAAGTATTGGTACTAATACGATATAAGTATGTTGATACGGTAAAATTTTAAAAAAATAAGGTACAAGTATGACTTGATATGCTTGTAAAAAAATATATATTTTTAATTTAGAATAATATAAAAATTAATTAAATGGTTTAATTTGTTAAGATCCAATTTAATATCAAAAGTAAAGATATAATTAAAAATTAAATCTCAATATATTAAATAACTTACAAATTATAGTTTTGTTTTAAAATCATACTAAACATACAAAAATTAAAAAAAAAAATCTAATAAAAAGAATTTTATCTCTATAATAAAAGAAAATATTATTTCAACTAAGAGAGTTTTATCTCTATAGTAGAAGAAAATATTATTTTAACTGAGGCATGATACTGCTTGAATATATACTAAGTACGTACAGATGTATCAAAAATTAAGAAAAAAAAATTTAAATAAATATTTCATGTGCCCAACATATATAAAAAATACTATACAAAATATCATAGACCGATAAATATCAGCTACAATATTTTTTTGGAACACCTATGTTTCATAGATCACCATACTTCCATTCCATATATGGTTACTATTTATTACTACTACTGCTGCTATTACTACCATGTCTAACAGCTACTTCTATTTTGTTACATTATTCACATCTGTCTCTGGATTGTTCGACTTTCTTTGTTTACTATTTTTCAGATCAGCTCCGGACTCATCTTCACACATGTTGAGTTCACAAATAAGAATGAAGAGGAGGCTGACAATTCTTCATTAGGCTCTTACATGAATTCTCATATACATATATATACAAATATGTATCTATATTATCTCAAAAATTTACTTCCCAGGAACGCTGCTGTGCTTTTGATTATTGGACTAAGTTGCTTCTGGTCATTGAGATTTTCTGAGTCAAAGTTACCACAAGATGAAGGTAAGAAGATTTCCCCATTTTATATTGATGGTTATTTCTGTTTGGGTGCCAAGAAAATGCAAGAAAAAGCACTCAAACTACAGAAATTTTGAGTGTTGGTGTTTCATTATATGGGTTCAGTTAAAACATGCCTGCCTCGGCTTTTTGGATTAGTTTAGTTTGAGTTTGGGGGAAAATCAAAGAAATAGCAAACAAAAGATTTAGTAATTTTATTTTGTTGTGTCTGATTTTCTCGAATCAAATGGAAGACCTCTAGGTTGAGTTTAGGCCTTTTTTTTTTTTTAAAACCAATTACAGAGATAGTGGGTTGCTGTGATTGGGAATTAAGGACCTGTGATGTCAGAAACAAGAAGGTTCATTCTGTCTATGAAATCACTACTAAACTTGCTTATTAAATTGATTTTCTTGAATATGCTAACATGCTTCACAGTATGTTGATTGGTTTGGAACCTCTGAATCCTAACTGCTCATAGACTTTTCGATGGGTTTTATCATTGGTTCACCAGAAAAATTTGCTGTGATTCACCTTTTGTTGGAATATTAACTTAAATGATGCACCACCAGAAAAGTGCAAATAGGAAGTAAGATTGACCTCTTTTTTGATTGATTCTTATTAAGGATCTGTTGCTGCATCTTGAATCTTGAATTGAGAATAATTCTCATTTTACATGAATGGTAATGAATTGCAAATTACTGTGTGAAAGGTGCATACCGTGTGCTCTTTTGAAACTGCACCACAATGATTCGTAACAAAACAACAATGGTTCAAAACTTTTATCATTACAATAGTTTGTAACATTTTAATATTCGTAACATAACCACATTTGGAATGACAAATAATTAATTATTTAAAAAAAAAAATACATGTGTGGGTGGAATGTATACGAGTATAACTAGATTATATAAACTCCATGAATCTTTTACATAATATATAAGGATGTTGTGGAAGTTAGATGAGTGTACGAGATGAGAAAAGGTTATTTAAGGCAATTCACGTTAGATGGCTTGATATACATTTCTGGACCCATCTCCCAACAACTTAAGATTTTGGGACAATTGGTGATCTACTATGGTATTAGAGCTATAGTTGTTGGAGGTCTTGGGTTCTAGTTTCTCTATTTGCATTCTACTTCTCTGTTTGGTTGTATGTTTGTCTCTTCACGTGCAAGACAGAGTTGCACATGAAGGAAGGACTGATTTGGTTCAAGCTAAGACAAGAGAACGGATAAAAAAATAAAGACAAGTAGTCCATAATTTGATAGAAGACAGAATCCAAACAGAGCATACAAAATATTGTTTGGATGCCCATCACCTACTTCCTAGTATTCAGATAAGGATCCATTTAACTTTGATGAGTTCATTGATAGTTCAGAACTTATTCACATATAATTGGTCATTAACTTCCTTACATATTTTTAATTATTTTGTGAACTTTCCTAGTGTCTCACACTGCATCTATTATGTTTTTTTTACCAAAACTTCACAACAATACTGAAGGTTTTTGTTGGCTTAGGATTGATAGAGGGTGATGGTTTGAAGATCAGCGAAAATCACCTCTAATTTCTTGTGATTCTAATTAGCAGAGTCTGCAGTTAAATGGATTGCCTTTTCAACTTATCATCTACTTTTGGAGTAAATTTTTTATATTGTCTGTTTTTGACAAATTTATTTCAGTAATATTGGCTCAATTTTTATGGTTATTTTTTCGCACATGTTGTTTAGTGGATGCTCTCCAGCAAATTGCCATTACAATGGGTGCAAAATATTGGAAGTTCAATGGTGATTCATGCCAAGTTGAACAGGTCGGGGTAACACCACAGGCACCAAGTGGATCTGAGAGCACTGTTTATTGCCCATGCAACTTCACGAATGACATCTATTGTCATGTCACAACAATGTATAATTTCTTTGTCATATTACTAAAGATGTTTCTCTAAGTCTTCCACACAATTATGTTTAGTGTGATTCTATTTTTATTTTTATTTTTTTAGTAGGTTAAGTTTATTAACCAAAAAGAAACCGCCTTGAAGGGGGTGGACCCTGTACTCTCAAAACTAAAAAGGTATACATCAAACTCTTATAGAATTCCAAAGATTGATGTTATTACATTTGAAATTGACAACATAAAAATTTTTAGGAGGAGACTTAATGTTATGTTCAACATCCTTGACTTCCTTTTAAACTGTAACTGGCTATTGAGACTTCATTCTGGTTACTCCTAATACACCATGTGCATTGTGCCTCCATCTTCATTAGATCAAATAGCTTATGTCTTCCTAAAGTTCTTAGGTGAAAATGGATGTCATACATTGATCAGTTGAACATAAAGCAACAGCAAAAGATGGTTCATAATATTAAGGAAGTGATGTAGCACCGAAGAACTGAAGAAGACTGAAAAGAAAAAAAAGAAAGAAAGAGAACCAATCCCAAATCAATATCTCAATAATCAATATCCAAAATCTAGATCCTATAGGCATCCTAGGAAACCATTATGAAAAGTTTACTAAAAATAGAACATTACAATAATTAAATTATAATAAAACTTTAAAACCCTATAAAATTATAAAATCCAATAATGCCAAATAAATCATTAAATCATTATCCAACTCCTTTGTGTTCCCCATCAGGAAGTCTCTTTCAGTTTTGTCTTGAACCCAATTTTTGCCATTATATATTGTTGTTAAAATTAATTTTTAATGCCAACCAGGTATGGACTTTAACAATTTCATTTTTCTTTTCCACATATTCAGTGTGCTTAAAGGTTTTAGTCTTCCTGGCGTGCTCCCGCCTGAATTGGTGAAGCTTCCTTATATCCAAACTATGTAAGGGTCTTTCAAATACCAATGTTCCAAAGTTTTGACATTAGATTTATACATGGTTCTCAAAATATGATATAAAAATCTTGGTATATTGAACGTATTTCATCCTTATCTCTTTTATAGTGATTTTGCATACAATTACCTCAGTGGTACAATTCCACACGAATGGTTTTCTATGCAATTGAAATCAATGTAATTTCTCTCTCTCTCTCTCTCTCTCTCTCAGAGTATCTCAGTGATTATAAGTTTCTCCTTTAACAAAATTAGACATGGAATTTTGATGCAGCTCTGTTCTTGCAAACCGCTTATCAGGGGAAATTCCGAAGGAACTGGGAAATGTTTCCAGTCTCACATACCTGTATGTTTCTACTGTTTCTTATCAATTTTCTTTCTGAAGAGTGTTGTGATAATTGAAGTCTGTGAAACTGAGGTCAAATCTTCAAAACTAGTATTGGAACTGAAACTGGACTAAGCACAGCCTTTATCTCATTTTTAAGTGTGTTTATTTTTCTTAAAATCAACAACATGCTGTATAATTTTCTTCTCGACAGGGGCATCATTTTGGCCCATGGATTTTCAAGAAAATGTAGCAGTGATATTCCTGTTTTTCTCTTTTAGTAATCTCAATGGAGATTTTGAATCAGGAATCTTGAAGCAAACAAATTTTCTGGCAGTGTTCCTCCTGAACTTGGGAAACTTAATAACTTGAATACTTTGTAAGACGTCTCATTCTTTTTTTTACTAATGGTTACTCCTTGAATCAAATTTGTGAAGGATGAAAGAATATCTAACATGTTTGTTCGTCTGCATGACATTGGAACTTCAGGATGTTGTCCTCGAATCAGTTGAGTGGAAAGCTACCAACTTCATTTGCTGAGCTACAGAATTTAACAGATTTGTAAGTTTCTATATTATCTTCCTTGATTTTGCTATTGCAGTTTTGATAATGGCGTCGATTCAGCACCAGTCTCTTGCACAATGTAGTAGGATAAATGATAACAACTTCAGCGGAGCAATACCTGATTTTATACAGAACTGGAAACAACTTCAGAGATTGTAAGATTCTCATCTTCCGAAAAGTGACTCTAGAGATTGACTGGTTACATTTTGGTTTTCCATTTTGGATTTTGTTAATGTGTGCCGTTAGGGCATATGTTAAGAAGTTTAAAGTGATTTTACATTTTTCATGAATGTGCGTGTAATAAAGAATGTACAATCATTTTAAGCTTGCTTAACATGTGCCCTAAGGGCACACTTTGACAAGACCTTCCATTATATATATACCCTTTAATTCTTATTTTTGTCAATGAAGAGAAATGCACGGAAGTGGACTTGAGGGACCCATTCCACAAAACATATCCCTTCTGAATGAGTTAATTAAATTGTGAGTACAAAATATCATTATATCAACAATGTAGTTCTAATTTGTGTATTTATTTTATTATTAGTGTACTATCAATGGAATTTGCTCATGGGTCGTCTCTTTAACCAGGAGAATTAGTGACATAAATGGGACAGCTCAGGAATTTCCTAACTTGGGCAACACCGCAGGGCTAGAAATATTGTATGTTTGATGTTTATATTGTTCAATATTTACACATGTATATATGTGCATTTCACCCTCCATTAGTTGATGTAATTCAATTTTTGGATATAGGGTTTTGAGAAACTGCAACATTTCCGGTGAAATCCCTGAATATATTTGGAAAATGGAGAATCTGCAAATGTTGTAAGTAAAAGCTCTCTCTCTCTCTCTCTCTCTCTCTCAGAGTATCTCAGTGATTATAAGTTTCTCCTTTAACAAAATTAGACATGGAATTTTGATGCAGCTCTGTTCTTGCAAACCGCTTATCAGGGGAAATTCCGAAGGAACTGGGAAATGTTTCCAGTCTCACATACCTGTATGTTTCTACTGTTTCTTATCAATTTTCTTTCTGAAGAGTGTTGTGATAATTGAAGTCTGTGAAACTGAGGTCAAATCTTCAAAACTAGTATTGGAACTGAAACTGGACTAAGCACACCCTTTATCTCATTTTTAAGTGTGTTTATTTTTCTTAAAATCAACAACATGCTGTATAATTTTCTTCTCGACAGGGGCATCATTTTGGCCCATGGATTTTCAAGAAAATGTAGCAGTGATTTTCCTGTTTTTCTCTTTTAGTAATCTCAATGGAGATTTTGAACCAGGAATCTTGAAGCAAACAAATTTTCTGGCAGTGTTCCTCCTGAACTTGGGAAACTTAATAACTTGAGTACTTTGTAAGACATCTCATTCTTTTTTTACTAACGGTTACCCCTTGAATCAAATTTGTGAAGGATGAAAGAATATCTAACATGTTTGTTCGTCTGCATGACATTGGAACTTCAGGATGTTGTCCTCGAATCAGTTGAGTGGAAAGCTACCAACTTCATTTGCTGAGCTACAGAATTTAACAGATTTGTAAGTTTCTATATTATCTTCCTTGATTTTGCTATTGCAGTTTTGATAATGGCGTCGATTCAGCACCAGTCTCTTGCACAATGTAGTAGGATAAATGATAACAACTTCAGCGGAGCAATACCTGATTTTATACAGAACTGGAAGCAACTTCAGAGATTGTAAGATTCTCGTCTTCCGAAAAGTGACTCTAGAGATTGACTGGTTACATTTTGGTTTTCCATTTTGGATTTTGTTAATGTGTGCCCTTAGGGCATATGTTAAGAAGTTCACAGTGATTTTACATTTTTCATGAAAGTGCGTGTAATAAGAATGTACAATCATTTTAAGCTTGCTTAGCATGTGTCTTAAGAGCACACTTTAACAAGACCCTTCAATTATATATATACCCTTTAATTCTTATTTTTGTCAATGAAGAGAAATGCATGGAAGTGGACTTGAGGGACCCATTCCACAAAACATATCCCTTCTGAATGAGTTGACTGAATTGTGAGTACAAAATATCATTATATCAACAATGTAGTTTTAATTTGTGTATTTATTTTATGTGTTTATTTTATTATTAGTGTACTATCAATGGCATTTGCTCATGGGTCATCTCTTTAACCAGGAGAATTAGTGACATAAATGGGACAGCTCAGGAATTTCCTAACTTGGGCAACACCGCAGGGCTAGTAATATTGTATGTTTGATGTTTATATTGTTCAATATTTATATGTGTATATATGTGCATTTCACCCTCCATTAGTTGATGTAATTCAATTTTTGGATTTAGGGTTTTGAGAAACTGCAACATTTCCGGTGAAATCCCTGAATATATTTGGAAAATGGAGAATCTGCAAATGTTGTAAGTAAAAGCTTGTATAAGCTTTGGTGAATGAATTTTATTTGGCTTTCAATGTTTGCATGGGTGTACAATTGAGTACATGTCTAAATGATTATTTTGGATGGAATTACAATGTTAAGGTACTAAATAGCAAATAAATGCATTGTTTTGTTTTCTCATAATCCCCAGTCATCGATGAGTTGAATGTCTAGACGTTGAACTTTCTTCGAAGGAGTGTGTTGCCTTGCCCACTTGATGATTGAAAATATTTGCTATTTGTTCAGCCTCCTGTGGTGAAGAAGACTTGGCTTTTCCCAAATAATTGAAAACAAGCAGCAACAGAAAAAGAATCAAATGATTCCTAGAAATAACAACAACATTATAATCAATACAAATGACCATCAAACTTTAGTATCTGAAATAATGCAACTTCAATTACCACTACTCTGTCTGTCTGTTTATTCCACAGAATAGTTAATGATACCTTTTACATGCCTTTTGATTAATGTCTATAATCAGCTTGTCCAAGTTGTATTTAGTTTCTTTTTTCCCATCTTCCCTTTGCATAAAAGAATGGAGAGAATTATTGGGCTTACCTTTGAATGAGGCAGAGGGCATGTATATATAACATATTTATGATACAATTTTAGAAAACAATATAAATAAAAAGAGAGATTCCTACAATCAATATAAAAATATTCTAATTCTTAATCTAAACTTAATATTCTAGTCTGTATATTCAACACTCCCCCTCAAACTAGCGTGAAGATATTCAACAAACGCAGTTTGTCAATGGAAGACTGGAGCAAAGTTGGTCCCACAGATTTTGTGAACATATCTGCCAACTGCTGAGAAAAAGAGACAAATGATGGACGCACAATGCTAGTCCGAACTTTTTCTCAAATGAAGTGTATGTCAACCTCGATATGGTTGGTACGCTCATGAAGTACAGAAACAAAAGATAACATAATGGCAGACTTGTTATTACAAAATAAAGAGAAAGGAACAGTCTTCTCAAAACCCAACTCTGCTAGAATAGATCGAAGCCAAACACATGTCCCATGTGCCATAACCCGATACTCAGCCTCTGCAGAAGACCTAGAAACAGAAGAATAAAAGAATGAATTGGCTTGATCTCAATTGAGGTCAGCCTATGAATATATAGATCAATATGTACAATATTAGGAAACTTTACAAGATAAGAAATAACATAGAAAAAGAAATAAAATTAAGGCCTAAACAATGGCCATAACGAAAAAGGGTCCTATTCTAGAATATTCTGTGTACTATATTTCAACACTCCCCCTCATGCTGACGTGAAGATATTTGATAAACTCAACTTGGCAATGGATGACTGAAGGAAAGATGGTCCCACGGATTTGGTAAAAATGTTTGCTAACTGCTGTGAAGAAGAGAAAAATGATGGATTCACAATACCAGTCTGAACCTTTTCTTTAATGAAATGTATGTCAACCTCAATATACTTGGTACGCTCGTGGAGCAGAGAATCAAAGGATAACATAATGGCAAACTTGTTATCACAAAGTAAAAAGGAATTAGCAGTCTCAGTAAAACCCTACTCTATCAAAATAGAGCAAACCCAAAGAAGCTCACATGTTCCTTGTGCCATAGCTCGATACTCAGCCTCTGCAGATGACCTAGACACAACTGCTTGCTTCTTACTTTTCCATGATATAAGATGATCACCATAGAAAGTATAAAAGCTAGATGTGGAACGTTGATTAGTTCTAGATCCCGCATAATCGGCATCGGTGAAACAAGAGAGTCCAGATTGATGACCAGCTGTGAAAAATAGTCCCAAACTAGGAGAAGTCTTCAAATACCTCAAAATATGACGAATTGCGTCAAGATGCTCCGTACGAGGTGCGTGCATAAATTGACTCACAACAAGAACCGTAAATGTCAAGTTAGGTCTAGTGTTGGTCAAATAAATGAGACGCCCTACAAGACACTGATACATGCTAGGGTCATCAAACAATTCACCCGACTCTGATGTGAGCTTGACATTAGGATCCATAGGAGTAGAAACAGGTTTACACCCTAAAATACCAGTATCCTTAAGCAAGTCAAGAGTATACTTTCTTTGAGACAAAGAAATTCCCTATTTTGAGCATGCAACCTCAATCCCCAAAAAATACTTGAGACTTCCTAGGTCCTTGATATCAAAAGTTTGACCCAAGTTTTCCTTTACTTGACCAATGTCGGTAGAGTCATCACTTGTGAGAATAATATCATCTACATAAACCAACAAGATGATACACTATCTCGCAGAATTATGCTTGATGAAACAAGTATGATCTGAATGGCACTAAACAAAACCCATGGAGATGATAATAGAACTGAAGCGATCAAACCATGCTTGTGGAGACTATTTCAGACCATATAGTGATTTGCATAATTGACACTTTCCCCAAATGCTCCCCCTCAGTTCGAAAATCGAGTGGAGGATCCATATAAATCGTCTCAAGTAAATCCCCATGAAAAAACGCATTCTTGACGTCAAGCTGATGAAAAGGCCAAGAATGTGATGCTGGAAGAGAGATGAGGAGACACACAGAAGTAAGCTTGGCAGCAGGGGCAAAGGTGGCGGAAAAATCCTTGCCAGGAATCTGTGTGGAACCTTTGGCCACCAAGCGGGCCTTGTAACGGTCAACTGAGCCATCTGCAAGATACTTGATAGTGAATACCCACTTGCAACCAACGATGCTTTCCTCACGAGGTAAAGATACAAAATCCCAAGTATGGTTCTGTTATAAGGGTGCCATCTCAGTCTGCATAGCCACTACCCATTTTGGATTCTGAAGGGTCTCTGACACAGAACGAGGAATAGACTCCGAGTCAAGTTTGCCAAGGAAAGAGAGATTAGAGTAGGAAACCCTGTCATAGAAAAGATACTGGGAAATGGAATAATTAGTACTACTCAAATAACTCAAACGAGCCAGAGGGTGTTGAGCCCAAGCTGGGTTACGATGGGGAGGTGGAGGAGGTGCAGGAGACGGAGGAGATGGAGAAGAGTTACCTGAGCCAGAAAGCGGAGAGGCGGCAGGGGGCAGCTGAGAGCGTGGGCGATGAGAGTATACCTGCAGTGAGGGAGGGGAAGGTTGAGGAGAAGGAAGGAAAACAACCTCAGCCTCAACCTCAACCTCAACCTCATCCAAAATAGGCACCGGACGAACACTAGAAGAAACGAGTGTAGGAGCCTGCAAAGGAGGGTTAGTACCAAAGTATGGAACATCTTCACAAAAAGTAACATCCAAAGTATGATGAAAATGATGAGACACAGGATCATAGCATCTATACCTCTTGGACATGGAAGAGTACCCTAAGAAAATACACCGAATGGACATGTCATCTAATTTAGTGCGAGTGGGACTCCAATTTTGAACAAAACAGGTACACCCAAAGACACGAGGTAATATAGGAAATAGAGTTGTAGTGGGTATAAGAATATGGAACGGAGTAAAACCATGCAACACATGACTAGGTGTCCTATTAATGAGGTAAACAGCAGTGAGGACAACCATATGCCAATAAGATTTGGGAACATGCATTCCCCGAAGGAGACAATAGACAGCAGACATAATGTGACGATTTTTACGTTCAGCAACATCATTTTGTTTAGGGGTCCAAGAACAAGTAAGCTGTTGAAGAATACCAGTCTGATTAAGATGGGAATGAAATTCATTAGAATTATATTTCCCACCATTATCAAAACGGATATTCCTAACAACTGCCCGAAATTGAGTTTTAATCATTTGTAAAAACCGAACAAAAGTTGAGAACACTTCGGACTTACGATGAAGAAGATAGACCCAAGTGCACCGAGTGTAATCATCAATAAAGGTTACATAATATCTATAACCAGAAAATGTAGTAATCGGGGAAAGCCCCCACATATCAGAATGTATAAGGTCAAAGGCAGCAAGAGCACGAGTCATGTGACGGACATAGCTAGTACGAGTATGTTTAGACAGCTCACAAACCACACAATGAAATTTAAAATCTTTTCAAGCTTTATTAAAAGGCAGAAAAAGCTGACATAAATACTGGAAATTAATATGACCTATACGAGCATATCAAAGTTCTAAAGTTTGAATATTAAAAACACAAGACAAAGAAGCAAGCAAAACAGAGGCCTGGAAACTAGCTAAAGAAGAAGTAGAAGGCTCGTCCGATGGGTCCCTAAAGTAGTAAAGCCCATCACGTTCATAGCCCTTACCAAATATCCTCTTCGAACTCAGGTCCTGTAAAAGACAAGAAGAGGGTAAGAAGATGACAGCACAATTAAACTGTTTGGTAAGACGACTAACAGATAAGAGATTATATGCAAAATTGGGGACATGTAAAGCAGATGATAAAGTAAGGGTAGGAGATAAAGACACGGCACCCTTATGATGAATAGATGCTAAAGAACCATCAGCAAGGCAAACAGATTGGGCTATGGTAGTAGGGACTGGAGAAGAAAGAAAGGAAAACTCACCCGTTATATGATCATTAGCCCCAGGATCCAGAACCTATGAGGGACTAGTAGACTGAACATGGAAAGTAGTAGATGTACCTGTAACAAGGGTGGCAGCTGTGGAAGGTGATGGGCCACGAGAACTAGCAAGGGATCCAAGCTGAGACTGAAGTTGACCAATCTAAGTTTGTAACTCCTGCAAGTTAGGGATAGCAAAAGGCGCAGGGGCAGGTGCAGCTTCCACTAAAGCAGCTGTGCGGGGGGTACCAGGACCATGCGAACGAGTAGAACGTTGCCTCAACTCAAGATGAAGTTTGAAGCAACACGCCTTGCCATGCCCAGAAGCACTACAATGATGGCAAGTAATGGAACTCGAAGAACCTCGAGAGCCAGATTTGGCAAGAAGGGCCATCTGATCAGATAAAACTAGAGAGATTGAAGGAGAGCTTGGTTGAACCAAATGCTGGCGACGCTCATCACTATCAATGGTAGCGAATGCCTCATAGAGGGACGCCATATGAGAGGAATTTAAAATCTGAGT